ACTTGCTGGTGCACTTTATTCACTAGATGTAAGAACTTTTTTGTTTTATTTCTCTGAATAACATTATGAAAGGCGGTCATTACTATCAGTAGTATGGTTTTCCAATGAACTGATTAACTATACGTTGCTTTACTTATTTATGTTAATGTATGTTAATAATGTAGGTTATTTTAATATATGTTCATGCTTCGTTTTTTGTGGATTCTCTTTGTACTCATTTTCTTTCTTCAGACGAACCTTGTAGCTGCCACAGAAGTGGATCATATTCAGATCAGTGCGATGTCCTTGGGTACTGTCACTGTCGCCCACACGTCACTGGACGCAGGTGCGATTACTGCCTTCCTGGATACTGGGGTATTCACCTAATCACCAACGCAAGTGTCGTCGGTTGCCAACGTATATGAACGTAGCACCTAAAAACTCCTTCCGGCAGGTTAAGATTTTCAATGTTTATAGCTTGCTTGTGCTCTCCATGGGGCTCGGTGCGAGACGACTGTGAACAGAAGACCGGACGATGCGTATGCAAGTCTGGCATTAACGGAGCAAAATGCGATCTTTGTCCTGACGGTTCACCTATCACCGCTGATGGTTGCAGCACGCAGAAAAAAGAGCAGTCTGTCCAAAAGTGCGGTCCGGTCGTGTGCCGATTTGGGTCTGTCTGTGAAACGCTCGGTGGCCGGCCTCAGTGCGTTTGCAGGGTCAACTGCAGCTCTTCCGACAGGACCTTACGTCAGGTGCGAGATCAACACTTTGTTGCTGAGTTTCGTAGCGTAAATGCACGTTCATCTTGATAATAACGGCATTTACAAAACAACAATATAACAATAACAAGAATCAATGCTTTGGTTAACGACAGACATTTCAGTTAATAAATATCCAACCTATAACTGTTTGCTGCACTTAATGATGGACGACGTCTGTGTTGTCCAACAGATTCTTTTATAATCTCGACTTGTATTCTGTCTCTCAACAGTGAATTGGAAATACTTTTTTCTTCTTCCTTTGTACGCTGAATTCGCATAAATTTTAGAAACAAAACCATCTTGTTCCAGATTCGCCAGCACATGTCAGCACTGTGAGCGTGATTGACTAACTCATCAGAATAGAGCAGAATTGAAGCATCAGAAACTCTACAAAGTTCATAAATGTTTAACCTAATGGTAACAAGGCAATGGAGTGGCGTAAATCCATTGAGACGTCAGAAATGTGTTTCACACGATTGATTGGAAACTCTTAAAAAAGCCTCAAAACGTACTCAAAACTCAATTCTGGAGAACATGTCAAAGAAGAAACTACCACTTTAAAGCCATGTTATATGTAGATATCCCACTTGTTTCGACAAAAAGGTTCTACCCATCTCAAAGACAAAATCGAGAACGAGGAACGTATT